AGTAAATTTGTAACATGTAATGAGAAAGTGTAAATAGGTAGTCAGGAATTCATAGAACTCAAAGCGACCAAGTTGTTTTTAATGCAAATGAATAGCACAGCCATTTCAGATTCACATAAGAGTTTTATACTCAATGCACATAGATTTCTTTTCTGTACAATTGCTCATTCAGCATAAAGACAATGTTTTCACCGAATTACTGAACTGTCTTGTTCTTAATTGTAAAACTCATCAATCTGTATGTTATCGTCTTATGTGAAGCCAAGTCACCTGATTTCTCGCTTATCACTTACTTACTTACTTTCGCCTGTTACCCCCAATGGAGCATAGGCCGCCCACCAGTTTTCTCCAACCAACTCTGTCCTGGGCTTCCCTCTCCAGTTCTGTCCAATGTTTGTTCATTCCTCTCATATCTTTCTCTATTTCTCGGCGTAGTGTGTTCTTTGGCCTTCCTCTTTTCCTTTTGCCTTCAGGGTTCCATGTGAGGGCTTGTCTAGTGACGCAGTTGGGTGCTTTTCGTAGTGTATGTCCTATCCATTTCCACCGCTTCTTCCTGATTTCCTCCTCCATTGGAATCTGACTTGTTCTCTCCCACAGTTCGTTGTTGCTGATGGTGTCTGGCCAACGAATACGAAGTATTTTGCGTAGACAACTGTTAATAAACACTTGTATCTTCTGGATGATGGCTTTGGTAGTTCTCCATGTTTCCGCTCCATACAGTAGAACTGTCTTGACATTTGTTTTGAAGATCCTGATTTTGGTTTTGTTTGAAAGTTGTTCGGAGTTCCAGATATTTTTCAACTGTAGAAATGCAGCCCTCGCTTTGCCAATCCGCGCCCTCACATCTGCGTCCGATCCACCTTTCTCGTCGATGATGCTGCCAAGATATGTGAAGGTGTTAACGTCCTCCAAGGTATCTCCATCAAGCGTGATTCGGTTGGTGCATGTTGTGTTGCATCGGAAAATTTTGCTTTTTCCTTTATGTATGTTGAGACCTACTGCTGCAGAGGCTGCTGCTACACTGGTCGTCTTCTCTTGCATTTGTTGTTGAGTGTGCGATGGAAGAGCCAGGTCATCTGCGAAGTCCAGATCGTCCAGCTGCGTCCTAACTGTCCAGTTGATACCGTGCTTCCCTCCAGATGTTGACGTCTTCATAATCCAGTCGATGACCAGGAGAAAGAGAAAGGTTGAGAGTAAGCAACCTTGCCTGACACCGGTCTTCACCTTGAAAGAGTCTGTTAGCTGTCCTTCGTGTACGATTTTGCAGTTGAATCCATCATAAGAATTCTGTATGATGTAGACTATTATCTCAGGCACATCGTTGTGTCGAAGAAGACTCCACAGTGTTTTCCTATCCACACTATCGAATGTTTTCTCGTAGTCGATGAAGTTGATGTAGAGTGGTGAGTTCCATTCAATTGATTGTTCCACAATGATCCGAAATGTAGCAATTTGGTCAGTACACGATCGATCCTTACGAAATCCAGCCTGTTGATCTCGAAGTTGGGCGTCTACGAAGTCCTTCATTCTGTTTAACAATACTCTGTTGAAGACTTTGCCTGGTATTGAAAGAAGAGTGATGCCTCTGTAGTTCTCACACTTGCTGAGATCGCCTTTCTTTGGTATTTTGATCAGGTATCCTTCTTTCCAATCTGATGGTACTTGTTCCTCATCCCAAATCTTCTTGAAGAGAATGTGAAATATTTTCGCAGTTGCTTCCACATCTGCTTTCATTGCCTCTGCTGGAATGTTGTCTGGTCCTGCTGCTTTGCCGCTCTTGATTTGTCTGATGGCCATACTGATCTCCTCAATCGTAGGTGCGCCAATATTAATTGGGAGGTCCTTGGATGCTGCTTCGATGTTGGGTGGGTTCAGTGGAGCTGGTCGATTCAATAGTTCCTTAAAGTGCTCCACCCACCTATTTCGCTGTTCGTCAGTGTTGCTGATTATTTTCCCTTCCTTGCTTTTCACTGGTCGTTCTGGTTTACGATAGTTTCCGGCGAGCTTCTTTGTAGTTTCCTTCAATTGTCTCAATTTTCCTTCTCTTGCAGCCTTTTCCGCCGTCATTGCTAGATAATCCACATATTTTCGTTTGTCAGCTCTGATGCTCTTCTTCACTTCCCTGTTTGCTTCTGTATACTCGGCTTGCGCCTTAACTTTCTCTGCTCTTGTTCGGCAGACATTGATAGCTGCCTTCTTGTTCCTCCTTTCTTGAATTTTTTCAAGAGTACCAACAGAGATCCATTCCTTGTGATGGTGCTTCTTGCGACCAAGGACCTCCTGACATGTTGAAGTGATTGCCTCCTTAATCCCTTTCCAATTGTTCTCCAATGTTGCTTCCTCTCCATTGAGTAGATCCTGAAAGGCCTGGAACCTATTGGTGAGGGCTATCTTGAATTCGTTGAGTTTTACGGTATCCCGAAGAAAGGCCGTATTAAACTTCTGTGATGTTGTCTGCCCCGCTGTCCAGTGCTTCTTTAGCTTCAATCTCATTTTGGCGATCAGCAAGTGGTGATCTGAAGCTATATCAGCTCCTCTCTTGTTTCTCACATCCTCCATGGTCCTTCTGAACTTTTTGTTGATACAGATATGGTCAATTTGGTTTTGAGTAGTGTGGTCCGGTGAAATCCATGTGACTTTGTGAATGCGTTTGTGCGGGAATATTGTGCCACCGATGACCAGTTTGTTGAAGGCACATAGGTTTGCAAATCTCTCACCGTTTTCGTTCCTTTCTCCCAGTCCATGTCGTCCCATGATGTCTTCATATCCAGTGTTGTCCATTCCAACCTTGGCATTCAGGTCTCCCATAAGAATCGTCAAATCCTTTGGTGAACATTTATCGACGACTGACTGCAGCCTTTCGTAGAATTGATCTTTAACGTCGTCATTGTAGTCATTGGTAGGTGCATAACATTGGATGACGTTCATTGTAATGTCCTGTTTCTTTGTTTTGAAGGATGCTTTAATGATCCTGGGTCCATGAGATTCCCATCCTATCAGTGCCTTTTGTGCATGTTTGGACAGCATCAGTGCAACTCCTTGTGTATGTGAAGCGTTTTCCTCTTCATGACCAGAGTATAACAGCAGTTCCCCTGAAGCAAGTCTCAGTTGTCCTACCTGTGTCCAATGCGTTTCACTGATGCCGAGCACCTGGAGGTTGCATCTTTTCATTTCTGCCGTGACTTGAAATATTCTTCCAGTCTCCCACAATGTACGAACGTTCCATGTACCTAAAAGAATGGTTGCTCTGGTTGTCAGAAGAGGCATCAGCCCCGTGACTTTCGAGGGGAACTCGGCTTTCATCACGTGACGTCATAATTCTTCTTCCAACTCCCAGGGCAGAGTTAAAATGGTTTGAATTATTTTTTCTGGTTAGCGTTTTTTTGGCAAGTTAGATTTCAACGGAATGGGGCCGCCAACCCCATGTCCAACCCTCCTCCTTTATCCGGGCTTGGGACCGGCAGTAGCCCCTAAGGTTCTACTGGCAGAGTTTCGCTTATCACAGTAGAATATAATGCGACATAATTGTTGAACTGCATCTTGAAAATGTTTACTGAATGTCAGCTTCATACTAGTGTTGTCATTCACTTGTAAATATATTCAACTATTGTTAGCTGTACAAGATTTTTTGCTAGATAGTTCATCCAAAATCTGAACAAAAATTATCTTTATTATTGTACAATATTGACTGTATAACTAAATGATGAAAACTAGATTTCTCAGTAAGTAGTAACTGTAATAAATGTAAAGGCTCAGATCACTCTTAAACACTTATAACTTGAAATGATTATTAGTGTTTTAATTAGACTGTGTATATTTATTTCTGTGTCAACTAGAAATCATTTTATGTTCTGTTCTTGTTTTAAATCGTGAAACATAAGTGTTTCCTAAATTTATAAGTGCCATGCTACATATAATAAATTGACGAAGGAAATTGCTGAATTCATTTAGTTGGTCATGTTCGTTTGTTTGTGAACGAATTACAAATATATATATATATATGCATGCCACATTGAGGCAAATTCCGACTTTGCAGAAACAGAAAATTAATTACAGTAAAGAGGAGTAATCAAAATGGTAGCAATAATAATGGTAATTAAGGGGAACTTTTACAGAAAAGCATGATTACAGTGCACAACAAGTAGTTGAAGTTTTTTTGACCAATCAAATGAAAAAGTGTTAATTTATTTTGTGAGTTTAAATTAAGAATGTCAAAAAATGGTGTCATTAGAACTGGTGAACTCAAAAACAGCTTACATTATGCTTGTATTTTTGTCAAGATAAAATCTATAAAACATTTTACTGAAAAAAGGAATATTCTTAACAAAATATTATTTTGTGAAGAAATAATTCAAAATGTTGAGCATTGAATGTAAACAGTAGTATCTGAATTCATGACCATTTCGACACCTTTAAAGAATGTATTTTTAAGTTTCATAATTTCACGGAATTAAATACTTACATAGTTCTGAGACCATTACTCTTCTCTTTGCATATCCAAACTTATCTCACTTATGGAAGTGACAAATATTTTCGTTATTCAGTCAGTGAACAGTAATCAATGTTACGATTTCTAGTCATCATTACTGCATAAATTAAGTTAAAATACGGTTATCAGGCTCACTGACTTAAAACTTGAATGGATTCTACTTGGTGTACGTTGGATGTAGCCATTTGGTTGGTAAACATCTCGAGATACAGACTACTATAAATGTTCATCTTAAAGAAGCCCAAAAGTGATACGAATAAATCACTCATCATATTTCTAACCCGACGACTAATACCATCGATCTAAATCCCATTAGTTGCATCAGTTCTTCCCGGTACAACTCTTCGAAGCCTGTTATTATTTTAACTTTTTCATAGACGAAATTAAGTAAAATAAGTGATTATCAAGTCGGACCTTGATAATCATACTTGAATGATATGTATGTGTATTAAAATTTCCACTATTCATGGAACCAACATATTTGCAATTTTATTTCTTTTCAATCTTTCAGTCTTCATCAACAATTGATCTGTTAAAAAATATTGGTCCTGTAAAATTTATCAACAATGGAGCTGGTATTATAAACCCATTGGCATGTAGCACGAAATTTGAGAGAGAATGGCTAAATCGCCTCTATGGTAAGTGCCTCATTGTTGATCAGATTCCGTAGCCTGTTTCAATATCTGAGATACTTATTCAAGTAGTTATTGTTTTAACTGACAAACTATGTCCATTAACTGTATAACCTATTCAGACACGTATATAAAAGGTCTAAAATCTATCGCTCTACAAAGTACAGTGAAGTGAGTGGTTAGCAAAATGCATTAAAGAGAATGAACGTAAATCAAATGCCTTTAACTCCAGATCATTAATTGGTAAGATAGTCTATCTTCGATTTCAATTAATTTTTAACAGGCATCGTAATTGTGTTGAAATTAAAACTCAAGAATCCTTGTTAAATGATTTACTCGACGTTGTTTAGTATTCTACATTGCTGCAATATTTTTCTTCTAGAGCGATCAATCAAAAACGTGTAGTGACGGGATAACTACACTTATAAATGTGAATCAGTGTCAAACTAATTTTGCACGTTGTAAGTTTTCAAACGAATTTATGGATCGTTCAACTTGAAAATAGCGTTCAACCAATTGAACATGTATAACAATGTTTATGTTATCAACATCTATGTGACTACGCAGTGCACCTTATATGTACAACGTATTTTCGTTAAGTAGCTCACTCACTTTAATGTTACTAATTTCACTGATGCACATTCATTTACGCGGAGTGGTTTTAACTAATATGACTGAAACTTTTTTCGTCTTTGAATTACCGAGACCTAGTCGATTTTATTACTCGTAGTCATTAGTGATGTAGGAATACACGTGACTTGTGAACATGTTCCTTTCCTTATTATTTTTATGATTCATGTACTGCCTAGAGTTAATAACAAGTCTGGAATAGGAGCGCTCTTATATCGGATGATAAAAGCTAACTTAGAAACTGCTCAGAGTAAAATATCAAATATCTGAAAAACATATTTGGAACAATGAACTGGGATTTATTGACACATGATTTATTGGGAAACGTCGGTGATGTAATTTGTTAATTTAAATTCTCCTTTAATGTTTATTGTTCCAATGAAAATATTTTTTATGAGATTTGACCGTCTGATATACCTACAACTAAAACAATTTAAGAGGGTAATAGGAAAACTGCCACTGAAGTTCAAATGTTAATTGGTTTGATAAACTAAGAAACCGAACGTCCGAATTCGATTTATGCTCAAAAACTTTAAATTCGTAAGACCTGTTCAAATAAGTGGAAAACTATTTAAACAGCGTACATGTGGGAAATGGATTAAGGACGACAACCAAAATGAATGTCTTCAACTTAAATAAGTCTTTTATATGTCAAACTGAGTTTCATTATTTACTGAAACTGGTGTTCGAAAATGTATACAGCCTCCTATAGTGTTTACGAGCTAACAGAGTCGCAAACCTATTTTTTAGACGAAAAAATGACTCTATGTCACCTAATGTTGGACAGCTTGTTAACTAGTGTTGTATATAAAATGTGAAGAATAAATATAATTCCAATACCAAGGAACATATCTGATTATTAGGATGAAAAATGTAGACTCAAAGCAATGACTTCACCTTTCCTCAAAACAATAGAGAAATTATCGCATCTTCCACCTCAGCCTGCATAAAAGGAAGATATCTTTTGGTTTACAAATCCAGAAGGAGTATCCTGGATACTGATGTTGTCCTGCAACATAAAATAGCGATAACTTCGGAGAGGAGTGAGTGTTATGTTGAATGCTCATTTCCAGGTTACACTACTTCACATTGCTCTGTTCCAAAGTCATTATTATTAAATCAGCTTGTTGATGTGCCACAAAGTATTGTTCATTACCCTATTTTTTCTTCATGATCTGCCATATTCTACGAAAAAACAGTTTTGTTATGTATGCGGATGACTTCATTGTGTGTATACAAAGAATGAGTTCATTATTTCATTGAATGATGGCCTATTTTTAACAGTCTCACGTTAAATCCTTCTAAACTGCCTTTAAACTGCTAATTTTAACCTGAGACAGCATTTAAACACCTTGCTGGAATCCCATGAAGTTTATACTATTAAAAATTCCTTTATGAAATAGTATCAAAGTTCATTTATCTTGGTGTAAGTTTTTCTTCTAACTTCTCGTGGTCTTCCCATCTATTTCAAGGAAACTTTTCCGTCCGAATTTTTATATAAAGAGGCTATACGCTTTTGGCATTACTCGAGGTTTACTTTTACTGTTTGTAAGTTATCGTATACCATTGTGAGAAAAGATTTTCCTGAGTTGTGGATTACTGAGAGTTGTTAGTAAGGTATAGGGTGAATCGTTTGATATCATTATGAATATAGTTGCAAACTACTGGCCAATGTTAGTTCATCAAGTGCTAACTATCTACATATTCATCCTTGTCTATAGTCTAGTAGAACGAGACACCGATTATTTAGAATCCAAGCATGGAAACAAAAGTGTAAATGCTCTCCAATACTGCATCTAGTAGATGTACTATCCGAAGAGTAGTTTACACATACATAAACGGAACTTAATTTTTCATTATGTCTTTTACATGGTGATTAGCTACCGGTTAGAGAATGTCATCTGGAGACTATTATCAAGAATATTCCATTTGGAAATAGTGACAGTCTTCCTCAGATAGTCAAGTGGAATTTACTTCACAGTTTTAGCCAGACACGTTCCATATGTACTTAAATTGCGAAATTCCTTATTTACCGAATATTCATAAGAATTCTTTCAAGATTTTCTAATTCTATCTTAACAATGTTCATTTTATATATTTTCTGATATTTTAGCGAAACATTTTTCTTAAAGAAGTAGAATTTAATAGTTTTTGACTGATGTATTCAGTTCTCACTGATTTTTACCAAACTGATTATTCGTAAAACATACACTATGACATACTGTAATGTAGATGTTAAACAGATTAGTTGATCAAGCTCATATTTTTAGTTATGTTACATTTTGAACATTTACCTTTTTGTAAACTGGTTCATTTTTTCGGATCGCCACTGGCTACCAGCTTGTGTTAGATCGATCCAAAAAACATTTTGCTTCCTGATAAGTCTGGCGTGTTTCTATTATATCCGCTTTCGAAGATGTATTCTGGTAAATTACTTTGCTTATTGATCATGATTTCATTTAATTTTAGAATGTGCAAAAGGAAAATCAATAAATTAAACTTATTTTCTGTTTGCAGTAAAGAAAAACTTCAATTCATTTTTGACATATAAGTACAAATACGAAAAGAATATATCGACTAGATGGTTAACAAAACACTTTCTTAAAGACAAAATCATCTATTAGAACAAATAACGTTGCATATTCAATAATATTTATTAATTGTGGTCAACTAGGATGAGTAAGACTAATAAAAGTTTAAAACAAACTGGTTTAATAGGTGGTGATCGTTTGATAGTGTGTCTCGATTCTGTTCAGTTGAAAATTTATACGTGATACTATTGATGAAATGTTCAAATAAAAGAATTAATTCAGTTTATACTAACATCAAATAAAATCCAATAAGACTTGTATTAAAATTCTATTCTCTGTTTTACTTGTCAACTACACAGGCTTTCATTAATAATTTGATTATAGTTTGCCATAACTGACCTGTTTTTCAGTGATTCTTTAATTATACCAATCAACCTTGTAGGTGTAGATTTACAAATTCCCACTTTTCCAAAGCTTGCATTAAACCATCAAAAGTTCAGATAAACAGTCACAAGTACTTTTTATCATTCTGATTCATATTTCACGTGATCTCATACACAGACTATGACAATAAAAAAAATTCATGTATTTCCAAAAGAGCGTAAATTGAAAATATTATGACGGACTGTTATTTTGAATAAATAGAAGATTTAATAAGCGTCATTAATTCAAGAGAGAGAGAGAGAGAGTATGGAGTTAGGATAATAGTAATAATAATAATAATAATAACATCAAATATCCATCGGAAAAATTTTCATTAGAGATAAATGAATTAAATTCACTATGGAATCTTAATTCAAGTGACGTATTAACCTTTATTTACTCATGCTAAAAACTGATTATTTTCTCACCTATGATGTTACTGGTTCTTTGTAATCAAAACACCAATTCGTCGTATGGTCATTTCAAAGATTTATAATCAAAATGAAGTAAGTTTTGAAGTGCAGTCTGACCTATGAACAAATAAACTTGATGTGCAGCATCTTTGTAATCGATTTAATTAAGCTAAGCAATCGCTTTTATTCAAAGTTCATTGAAGTACAAATGCAAAAGCTTCATATTTAAAATCTTTTGTAACAACTGGTGTTTAAAAGTTTAACCATTACCCGATAGTTAAATATACACCAGCGAAAACATAACTGTTTCTTACATAATGACAATTTAATAATGTAAATGTAGTACTTTTTATAGTGTACAAGCATTTCTGAAAACATAATTAATGCTCAAATATCTTGTACGGTTTTGATCTATCATCTACGGAATAAGCGCGAAAATTCAAAATAAGTTTCATCCCTTTTGGTTTCATTTATCAATGTTGTGGGATGTTAACAGTGTGGTCAATTTTAGGCTGTATTACTTCGATCTGTCAGTTACATTCGAATAACGATGATGATTTATAACTTTTCAAATAATCAACAATAAGTTATAAATCACCTGTTAAGTTAAAATAATCATATTCACACACCTGACTGTCATCTTATTTTCAGAATAAATATTGTTTTGGTTATCATTAGATTAATCGCTACTCTTTTTCTTTCCTTTTGATTTTCCTCATTTTCCTTAGCATCTCAAATCGGTCCGAATGAATATTTCTGCAAAGCATGCGGAAAACATTTCCAGTTATTACGTCTTTTAACACGTCATATAAAATGTCACAGCCAGTTACATAGATATTTGTGCAAATTTTGCTTTAAAGGATTCAATGATACATTCGACTTGAAACGTCATACCAGAACACATACGGGTATGTTTAATAACTTACTATGTTAGATAATTCACGATATATATTTAAAGTTTTTTTACTGATTAGCATTAAATAAACAGTGAACGGAAGCAATCCACTTTGAAGTATGAAGCAGTAGGTAGTGCTGACAATTATTATTATAGCAATAAGTCATTTATTTAGTAATTCATTTACTAGGTTTAGAAGAAAATTTAGGTATAACTGGAAATGGAAGTATTATATGTTCTACATATGATCTAGGACAGTGATCAAATAGAATTCTGTGGACATCTATGAATGCAAGCTTTAGAATACTTATGAATAAAAAAAATCATGATAAAACAAGTCTGAGTTTCAGCTATAGTATTGAAACGGTTCGTTTGATAATCGTATCCATACCTAACACTCGTTTCTAGACTGTTTGGATTTAATTTTGTTCATTTGTGATTATAAAACCATTTAACGCAGTAAACTAGTTTGTACCGATTATTTTTTCCCTGGTTTATGAAAGAAAATATGGAAAAGCTTACATGGCATAAGTGAGTTGAACACCATCCATCCAGACTGATATAGAATTTTGGCTTAAAGAATGAATTTTTTAATGAAGAATTACAATTTATGTTCTAGGCTGTGACAGGACACAAACTGTTTGTCTCAAAGCTTATGTTGATTTGCCAAACTTTTGTCTTCAAAAGAAAAAAACTCAATAGTACAATATGCTGGATGCTTTTTTTCTTGTATTTCTATTCAGAATCAAGTTTTACGTCCCATTTGATGATTGAGTGTTATTATCCAATGAAGCAGTGTTAGAAACATTTGGAGCCACTGGGAGGTAATTTTGATCGGGGACTAATAGCAACTGTAGAACCAATAAAAAGCTATGGAGCCATCAAACAACTATTGCATTATACTGTGAAGCCTCTCACCAATTCAAACCTGCAGTACAAATTATTTTGTAAATAAACTTAAGTTTCTACAATACCACCATACTTAAAAATAACCATGTATTAACTAATAATTAGATTCATGGTGGATTTTCAAAAGTTCTACTTTGAATCCCTGCTATATGAAGTCAACGAATTCAGAACCGGGAAGAATAAAAGCTGATGTAATGGGTAGTAAGTAATCAGACTTCATCTTGAAGTGGATAAAGCTGTAAACAACTGGTCATTTATTTACAACAGAATGATACCATGCTTAGAGAGAGATCCAACAATTCTAGACACGATTATGAGTGGGTTTGTGACAATCCACTGGCAAACAGTCTTATACTATAACTTAGCAGCCGTCCAATCCCTTTTCATTTTCAATGATTCTTCAGTTGGAGTTATTTCCTGATGAAAATTACCCTCAAACTATAGTTTATACAGCAATCGAATTGCGTCTTAGACACTGTACACTTCACAAGTCAATCTATATCCCAAGATAAATCAAATTAGCTTTTGTTTTTTACAGGAAAAGCCCTACAAATCCAAAAATCATTTTTGTGTGTAATGTAGATTTTTTTCTAGCATGGTTAATAGTTCTTGACAAATTGTGAATATGTGTATATATTTGAATCACTGATCTATTGTTTTCGATGATTTGAATTGATAAAATTATTTTTAGCAGTACAGCACGCACATTCACATATATTTTACAATATGTAAGGAGGGAGTGTAGATTTGTTTTTGTTTTAAGAATAGATCCTACTATTGGTTAATACATTTTTTAAATTTTTGTTTGTTTGAGTAAACGCAAACAAATAGTATGAACAGTTTATGTTAGAGGAGTGAAACTCAGTTTTAAAAGTACATGGCCTTGAGTTTAGTCATATTCATATGCAATGTTATACTGCCTTATCAAATCTACTTTGGCTATTAGTCTACCTCAATAAAAACTACGATGTTGATGAGTTTTCATGATCATTCACAATTAACTAGGTAAATTTTTTTCGGCATACATGTAAACTGACAGATGGCTAATGGATTCGGACTAACTCATTCACTCATGTCAAATTGTTTATTCTGAATACAAGTAAAATGAATAAGTTTGTTATAGGTATGCTAATGTTCAAGACTAAAATATTCATAGTCATAGCATCACATGCAGATCATACTAAACAAGATTATATAAAATTTCTATTTGCTAACTCATCTACCTTTCCAAACCATATATCTGAAATGTTTGAAGTTACATTTTACCTGATTTGTTAAATATCCTGCAATAAATGATGTGAAAGGTATAAAGAAACATATGAATAAGTTTTTTTACTATATTACTAGTGAAAATTTAACTAACTGGTAAATAGATTTTGATAAGAATAAGCATATTCTACAGAGCCATTGAAAACCAGATTACAGTGTACAATAGAGGGATTGAACCAAGGACATTTAGTTTTTTTTAGTGAAAATGTGTAAACAGTAAAACAGTTTGAAATTTTGAACTTTATTTAAATCATAGCACATCTTAATTAACATCACCGGGGACTAACTGCTTATGATACGTAATAATTAAAATGGTCTTTTTATGTACTCCTTAGCATCTGAGGAAATAGAAACACTCATTTATATAGGTGAAGTATGTATGACTAAGAGTTAGGCTTCGTACATCAGATGGATATCAATGGTAGTTTTATGTTCTCTGAGCTAAATAATTTAATTACAAAGCTTTCATGATTTCGATGAACGATTTCACATTCATAAGTAGTACTAGATAAACAATTACAAAGAAGTAAGGGTTTTGGAAAACCCTAGTTCCCAGACAGTTGTGCTCGTGGGCTTCTGGATCCTACAGGAACGATCGATGCATGAAAAAATATTGTCACCAGCTACCATGACACTGCACCTCCTGATTTTGTTTCTTTGCCTTGTGGATTAGACTCCTTGATTTTAAGCTCCGGATGCGATCCCTTAATAAAACCATCTCTTCCGGTTTGGGTGTCTTTGTATTATGCTATCCTACACACAAATATAGTGATGATTGCCAATGAAAATAAATTTCCCATGCTCCAATTTGTGTTTATGCCATGGTGTTGTGGCATGAGAAAACAGCTGTATCTGAGTAACATCTCTTGATCTTTCATGACACTCTGGCTAGAGTCCTAGAGATAGCACAACTCAATGGTTTAATACGTTATAAGATATGCCTCAAAATAGATACTCATGACTATTCTACTATACTTTTGCTTTACATTCTTAATAATTATGAGAGAAACTTCTTTAACTGAATATATAGCCAAAAGAACTGTTTCTCTTGTCATATATTGTTTTTGCTAATTAGTTTATAAATTGATGTTTTATTATTTTTACTTCCTTCTCCTCAAATGTACTCTCTTTTCCTCATAGTGTTACCTATACTTTGAATGTCTCATTCTATTTCTTACTACGTTGTTGTACCAGATGTGCCTAAATACATAAGTCGATAAGTTGGAGGATGGATTTCGATACTTTATTGTGATTCAATTGTCCTCACCATAATACTACCACTGATCTGATTATTTTCAACGCTTATATTGTAACTGTATCAGTAGCTTAAGTTATCATAAATGATTTTTTTAAACATTTTTGTGAATAAAAACATTCATTGAACACGATTAGCATGTCTTATTAAATGAGTCCTATTGTCCGATAATTTGCTGTATTTAAATTATACAGGTATAGATTTTTTAAGCGCTTTACCTAATTCACTTTTAATAGTTAAAGGTTTTTTGTTTATTCTAAACCGTACAAAGCAGCTTTGTTTTTTGCGTAGAAGTACACTATACGACTAGTTATTAGGTGTGGTCACTTGCATACTTTGATTCATTTTCGGAAGAAAACAAATGAATGATAAACAATTTATTGATAGATAACTGGTATCGGATAAAATAGATTGAAACTTTTAAGTTTATCTTGAAACTCTCAAGTAATTACGTTACTCTATGCTCATGAAAACTTGTAACTTTGACGATAATGACAGTTAAACTTCACTACTAAGCAACAATACCTCTTACCACTCACTAACCAATTTAAACTGAATTTTAATAGAATTCCGTAATACAGAAAAAATAAATCACTAACTAGGTTTAATGAGGTTTTTCCCCATATAAACTACATAATAATGCTCTCTTTGATATTTTTCGGGTGAAAAATATTGAACTAGAAAAATAGTCATGATAGTTGTATATTCAACTGTACGAATCTGATAAGTTTCAACTCTAAATGTAACAAAAGAGGTAGGATAATATCTCAGCAATTATTCTTTCGACAACTTATTAGTGTCAAGTATATATTTGGAAAGTGACTGTATTTGATTGTATCAACCACATTCTATCAAAAAAAATCATTCGGAAATTTAAAATTAATATCGTACTTGTGAAAAATTGTTCAAGTTGAACATAGTTTTTTATCATGTACAGAAATCGGTGACTTGTTGAAATAAGTTAGTAATGAATAGAACTGCAAGTTTTAGTTTCGGTTTTGGGTGTTAGGATTTCTTCATCTGATATCAGTTCGCTGTACAAAAATTTAGCAAACACGCCTGTAAGGAACTGTAATGAATGCCAACCTCCATCACTTCAATAGTATTTTTTTCTCATTACATAGTAATTAGTATGATGGCAACCAGATGATTTTCGCTGGAGGTCATTTTATTACGATATTTAGATCGCTGGAAAAATATTTACCCATTGTTAGTGTCAATATGTATTATGGCGCTTTTATAAATTAGTCAACCGTTTTGTAGTTTTATGGTCTATTAAGATTGGTTGGTAAGAGTAAGGTTGTTTATTGAGTGTTATTGTTCTCCTAGATTTCTAAATTAATCTCAATTCACCACTGAAACGACCAGATTGATTTTGATATCTACCACTACCCATCACCTTCAGTAGTATGATTGACTTTCTCCTGTTTTCGTTTATATATCATTGACTATAGGTGTTCGACCTTATCGATGTTCGGACTGTTCAAAAGCATTCACCCAACGATGCTCTCTTGAAGCACATGGTCGTAAGGTTCATGGTCGTCCATTACAGTATGCATTCAAAGAACGCAGAGATAAGTTATATGTATGCGAAGAATGCGGTTTCAGTACAACGGATGTTGAAAATCTTCGTCAACATGCACAAACAGTACATGTAACAATAAAATCATCAATTGGAGAAACGTTAACAACAAACGCATCCTCAAACTTGCTTCAGCTATTTACGAATTAAATATTCAATAAGAAAACAAATGAAAACTTTATATATCATCAAATGAGTAAACTGGCGCACATAAATATATATACTTAAATATATTTTTAGATAAGTTCAAAATGAATTATATAATATACATATATACAACAGCTTTTTTTGAAGTCACTAAAATAATTCGATACAATAAATGATTTTAAAGAAAAATTATCCATCTTGTCTTCATTGCTACTAACAAAAAATCACATTTAATCTAATGAGCATATCACACAAAACTATTTACAGGATAATATAGTGTAATAATAGATATGCAAAAGGTATACCATCAAAGGATTATGAAAATAAATTTAGTTTTGAATTCGTTATTACATTTGTAACCAAAATGATCATATTTTAATAACGATAACAAAATAAATATGTTCATTTTTAATATTTCACAGTGTATGATTTTGTTTGAATTTTTTTCGTTTTCATCATTATTATATTAATGGACTGTTGTTTTTTTTTATTATCAATTTTATTTACTTTATTTGATTAAAATTATTCATGATTGACACAAACAATTAATTATTAATATATAATGTTTCTGTTTTTAATGATTCCAGGGGATTGAATCCACTGGAATATTTTTTTATCATAAAATAAAATAAACATTTTCATCGATATTGAATATCTGCTCTTTATTTTTCTGTCCAGTTGTTGACATTAATGGTAGAATACGTTATCTTTTAACGTCTGTGTTCTATTTGACAATAGTATTGACTAGGAATTGTTTTTATTCATGAAAAAAAGTTATGAGATTTACCTAGCTTACAGACGAGTATCCAGTGGAAATGTGATATTCTGGGAAATTACAGCGGCAACTAGAATTCAACAATCTCATGATTAACTAATTTCTCTAATTTTCTACCACATTCAGTTATTAGCTAGAATCAACGGAGTCGTTGAACATATAATGTACTTGAAGAATTACTACAAAAGTGATCAATTTATAGTCAGTAAATTTCAATCACCAATGCCAAGCAATTATTAAGGCCTGAGGGTAACATGAAACAGCTGGATTCATGAATCGTTGTCTAATAATTCCAAGTAGATGAAATGAATCATTTGGTTAGTTTTGGGAATTATATTAGGTGGGATATTAAGGCTAAATTTATAGTCTTCATCTACTCTGACCGGAGATATCGATTGAAGTAGCACTAAACTACAGAACGGTTTTGATGGATTAGAAACAGAGATGATTCCATCTAATGAAGGTATTGACTGCTAGTATGTGTTACTGAGACGTGTTTACTCATTGTAAACAGTAGTGAGAATTCGTCAAGTCATTAGTCTGAGATTTAGGATAAGAAGTCTCAACCTTCCCAAAAGAAGTGCAGATACTTACGTAATCTTTACTCCTTGAAATACATAAGAACTACCTTTATCACTCATTTCCTGTTATTATTAACTTTATCATCGTTATATTTGTCTTATAGAATAATATTTTAGCAATGAGATTCATCGAAATGATTGACGAATAATGACTCGTAGTGTTGCAATTTGATCTAAACTAGATCAATATTCACAGAATCCTATTTGTTGGTCTCAAGGTTGGGAATCTACTGAGCGATATAGATATATAACAGAGAAACTATTCGAAAGTACAAGCCCATGTTGCAAAATACATTAAATGAAAGAAAAAGTGCAGTGAATTAATCGCGTTAATTACGTAGAAATTCAACTTAATCTCTTCCTTCTTTAATTCAATTTGAGCAGATAAACTACTACCTGGAATGGTACTCGGTTCAAGTTCTTAGGTAGACACCAAATCTGAGATTAAGGTACATCTAGGTGACCTGTCCCAAATAGAATGAAACTAGCGTCTCGAATTCCATTGGTATCATATTGATCCTTTGTTCCTCGTTCTGCATGTTTCGATGATCCTAGAACCATGAGATCTCTATCCTACAAGCATATTCTGTACTTTCTTGGATGGTGACGGTGAAACTCTGTGTGTATGGGGTATTTTGTTCTTCATAAGCAGAGTTCAAAGGAACCACATCGAAGCTAGTATTTTCCAAGCACCACTAGGTTGCATCCTCCCAATTACACAGCTACCTTAATGACTCTCTTGGTCTACCATATTGTTCGGACATTCTATATTTCTATCTCAACTAGTCCCTTGGTTATCAGCTAAACTGGGGGCTTCAGCGACACTTCAGTTACTCACGATGTCTAGTCAATCTGAATGGCAAAAAGACGTAAGTCCTCCGACTCTTAATGAGGTTGAAAAGGCTATAGGAAATCTGAAGCGAGGGAGAACAGCAGACTCTGATAGGTTAACCCATGAGATTCTTAAGAATAGTTATCCAGTCGAAGCGGTAGGATTGACTGAGATCTTGAATAGGATCTGGGAACTTGGCGTAATACCATCCAACTGATCTCAATCACTAATTGTCCCAATAATCCATAAGAAAGGACAAAAGTCCTTTTGTAACAACTACAGAGGAACCAGTTTAACAAATATGATGTCTAAAATATTAGCTTCAGTAATAATTTGACAAGCAACTATAACTCGTGAAGAGAGTGGACTTGAGAAAACCGGACTGGTTTCAGACGACTTTACCGTGTAGCAGTTCCCTCCGTCCTACTACACGGCCACTAAGAATAGAGGATATTTGTAGATTACTAGTATTCAATCATAGGCAGGTGGCTTCGAAGCATTGCTCGTATATCTTGGGACCATCGAGTAAGCAATGTCGATGTTAGGAAACGGGTACCAGGAAAGGATGACAAATCAATTGATGAAGTAGTGAACCTACATGCCTAACCACCCACTACCTTGGCGAGCCATGTTGTCTGATGTAGAAGTTGGCTGGGAAAAAAACATGGCACCAGTACATGAAGTCACTGGCAACTGGACTGAGCCATATCAGTAGGTGTCGACTAGCCGCGTGGAGTCCGCGAGACAATAGTGACCAGTGGTTAGAGACTGTGAACGACATGAGTCAAAGTCGTTTGCACTGGTGCAGATGTATCAATTCTGAGTCTCCTCTCAAATTCGAATCTTCTGAATTACTCTTGACCCTTCTTTCCCATTTTAAAATTTATTTTATTGGATTATATTTCCCGAGTGATATCATCGAACTCTAATCTTCTGCGTTACCACCAATGCTTCTACCATTATAGGATTCGAATTGTTAATTCAATCTCTGTGCTAATATGGTATGGTAACTTGAAATGCTGTACGTACGTACTAAGTTCTATGTTGTAGCTGACTGACTGACCAGGTTATCAAACGAAGAATCGACATCGTAATTGGTGTGTATGACCGTGATGTGATATTCATGTTCAAAAGCCATTTGTAAACCTCGTTCATAGTGGTAATGTTCGAGAGTGGGAATGATTTACCTTCATAGTCAGTAGTATTTATGTCATAAGGCTGATGGAATAATCTGTATCACAGTTGGAAATGGTATTCTTCTTGATATCATTTTCCATAAATGTAATGAGACAAACCATAGATTATGCATCTGGTTCAGTTTAGTTCTCATTCACTGAAGGAGTCTAATAATTTTCATCTTTTTATTGCTAAGTGAGTTGCGACTATGTGAACACTAAGTTATTGCACAAATAGAAGCTAAATCTATCCTCTAACATCTACATTTAGCTTCGCTTTTGGTATATTCGCTATACTACTTATTAATATTAAGCAGCCATAACTGTACTCGAACATTTCACCGCAATCCGAATTGTGATGAATATCACCCTTTTATTAATGGAACTTCTTGTACTGTTGATTTATGCTAGCCTACGCTACCGCTCAGGTCTTCGTTTATCTTTAGTGAATTGCCTATTTTCCGATCTAAGGTATTCATTGGATCCCGTTAACTACTGGTATGTATTTAATGTAGAATCTATTTTGAAGGTTTTGTTTTTGGAAAATCCCTCCGTGTATATTTATTTGTGTTATGATATGACTGACTCTTTCTGTTGATATTTTGGTACTCTATTTGATTCCATTTTGAGATTTTATCATTTGTATATTGTTATTATTTCTATATCTTGTACTTATATTGAAGTTTCCATGTTTTCTTCTGAACTATATATGTGTTGTTTAAAATTGATACTTAATATGGCTACAGCCATATTTGGATTTGATACTCTAGCAGTAACTGACTGGAAGCACTTATTCTTCCAGTAACGGAACCTATTGTGGTAATTGGAAACTCGAAGGTGTAATATTGTTTTGGTAATTGTCTGTATTTCCCTTTTTGATTAAAAATAGAACCGTTCTCTCCCAGAATTATCGTTTTTGGACTTGGACTGGGTGGGACGCGTATGAACCTACACCTTTCAGTTTCGGAGCAAACTGCAAAAGTAAATTAATATTTAAGATTTATGACTTAGAGGAGTGTAGTTTTCTAGTTTATATTACTTTCTCTAATTTCATACTTGTCAACCTATGTGAAGGAATGATTTCACCTTCGATTATAGGGACGGCCCTTGAACACATTATGATTTAAAATTTGAGTCTTTCCTTTTTCTCTAATAGTATAGTATTGATGGCTTCTTGACTTTTATATGCGACTCAATCATCAGATTATAATCCTCTCACACACACAGCAGGATCTACGTGATGTAGGCTAAATGAAAATTAACAAGTAGCTGCGTACTAACGATGTCAATCAAGGAGGAGTTTGTATATGTTGTATCAGCATTTTTGTCTAATGTTTCAGTTGTACTTAGTACTACGGACGTCTAACCGCATCCACCATTACACAAGTGTCTAGGAACTAAGCTAGTTGGTTTACACAATATTGTTTTGATATGGAAGAGAAAAATCTCTGTTTACGCATGAAACTGTCGGATCAAAATAACTATTATATCGAAACACAGCTTAAAAGTGGGAAGTACTATTACATATTACCAGACGAATACTCACTATTGTATAGAAACCATACTATCTCATAGTATCCTATAATACAACTGAGCACGGTTCGAAACAGCTTGTCTGAAATAAAATAGTTATTTCCCTCTTATTTTTCTTTTGGTAATAATAATGTGCTATGAAATTTCTGTCCATAGTTTCAAACTATAGTATATGAAAGTGAGCAATACTACATCGTTTTATAATACAAACTAAATAAAACGAGGTATCAATAGGCAGTTCAACCACTGTTGGTGAATCATGTTGAGCAATTATCGTTTAACACTATAGCAGTATAAGCATAATAGAGAAGCTAGTGTAACTGAAGAGAAACAGAATCTAAACAACCTAGTACTGAGTAACGATTTTAATGATCTATAATATGAATAAAACAAACTCCAGGTAAATAAATTTTGTATCTTATCAAAAAATAGTCTGTTTATATAACTACTGACAAAATCGTTGGTGGAAATCAGTGCTGTACAAAATTCTCTTATTTCTCAGAAGTAATTTATGGTTGAAACTGTTCATAAGATAAACAGAATGGTATGAAGTGTATAAACCATAATAATATTTTTGTTAAGACTCCGAAATCTATTGCTTTAATAATGAAAATATATGCATAAGGATTAACTATTAATAGTATCACCAGTAGCCGCTACCTCAGCCAAATTCCTGCTACAGTTCTCTTTCGAAGATATAGATAAATCTGAACAATTAACTGCGGAAGGTTCACTTGGCACAGTCAATCTCCATAATCCAAAGTCACTTCCAACAACAGTTTGCCACAAACGAACAGTACCATCTTCACTACCACTTGCAAAAACGTGTCCATCTGGAGAAAATCTGACACAACGCAGTGGGCCAAAATGTCCCCTGCATGTTTCTAAGAGAAAGAAATAAACATTATCATAGATTAGATAGAAGTTCAAGCTGGCTAATAGAGTAGAGGATTAGAACACGGTGAACGACTCAGATTTATTTGACTCGATCATGCACTGATAGACAGAAAGTTTTACAAGGTATACGATTCTCACTCGTATTACTCGATACAAAACTGTTATACATCGTCACTAGACGTTTTTCAAGTGACTCTGAATTTCATAGGGGAAATAAGAGCCATTAGGTCTTAAAGGGCATGAACATCAATTTTTGAGGACTAGCTCATGATGTTGAATCTAGTCCAATTAGTAACTATATCTCTTTATTCGTAACGCTTTTAATTAAGAGGTGATGGTATTTGTCTTTTTGATACAAGTTATAAGCTTATCAAACTGTTATTGTCGTTTATCGTGTAAAAGTATCTCTCATGTTCATTTATTAATTCGTTAAACAAAAAATTCTACTATAATCTACCTTTTTTTGATATGGATGGTCACATAACCCGAAATAACTTGTGAGACTCATTATTTTAAAATAAATAAAATAATAAAAACTGTATACAGTAAAACATTGAAGAATATTACCTAGTATTTCACCAGTCTCTGAATTTAGTCGATAGATTATATGATCTTCACCACCACAAACAAGCAATTTTTCAGTTGGATGCAAGCTAACAGAATTTACTGGACAAGATAAAGTGAATTTTGGAAAAGCTTCAGGTGCATCTGTCAAGTTCGTATAACGCCAGTCAAACGTATAAGTTTGGATTGAGTTGCCACAAGCCACTACAGCTTTCACTTGATCTTCATTATAAGGGATATGGAATTGAATATCATTTACTGGATCTGATAATTCCTTGGACCAAATCTGCTGAACTACAGCCGGTTTCGAAATATCTCGGAGATCCCACAAGCTAAAGTGAAAATATGTACACCAGTTATTGTCCACAGAACGTGTTATAAAATCGACACACAGGGAATGCGAGAAACGCCAACCACATAGAAGTTGAACTCATTTGTCATACCTGATGATATTTGAAGATAGAAGATTGTTAAGTACTGCGTAGTTAATGACTCAAACGACAGAATCTAAATGCACTATTTATTTATTGCTGCATTTAGATGACGCTATGAAAATGGCACGTACAGTCACTTGCAGCTTCGTGAAACGTCCCGTTTATAAGCAACGGGTTCCTAGCAATACGTTGAGGGACATCGGTTTGCTCCGGCTAACCATGAGGTTGACGCTAAAAAAGTAGATTCTTACGTAAGGAAATTGTGCAAAGTTAAAGTATAGACCAAGAAGCTTAGTGGTCGGAGCATGTTAACGAGTTGCAAAGAGTAGTCGCACCTGGTAACTGTCGGAAGCCGAACCACTGACAGAGATAGGTTTGGTGTCAGTGAAGCATTCTGTGAAGTTGATGCGATACCAATCAATAGCACCTACCGACAATGAGCTGAGTTCATAGAGGAACAGTTCACTTAGTCTGTTACCTCGGTGACATCGACCAGACTGATCCATTTGATGAGGTGGAAGTCTGAAAGGAACCCTAACTCCTGAAACGCCGTAAGTCAGAAGATCCAGGCGACTCACTTTAGACCTTTTTCGAGGATAATGACGACCAGGTTATGAAACTGAGTTGTTTGCAAACGTTAAGCTACTAGCGTCCTAATTGCAAGAATCTTTTCTGGGTAGATTTATCTTGAATAATGTGCGATTACCATTATTACTCTATTTTACTAATTTTTGTTCTTTTACATCATACTCATTTCCTTGCTTATCTCCTTACAATGTCTTTTTTCTGCGGCACATACATATTTTGGTGTTTCTTTTAGCCAATAATCTGGTTTAAATACATAAATAAATCAAATGTTGCTGAGTAGCACCAACTGGGTGTGTAATCAAACATTTTAGTCCCTACCAATAAATGAAGTCTACATCAGAATTTAGATTGGAAGTCTAAGGTCCCTGAAAATATCAATCCATGCTCTCAATAACCTCTCACTAGTTTCATTGTCAGTCAATCAGTTACAACACTAGTACAACTTCGTACTAGTTTCATTGATGAAAGCTGAAATAACCAGTCGAAATTGATAAGTGCATATAAGTTAAAATATAAGGTGCTGGTTATTGAAGTTACTTTTAGCAAGTGAACCTTATTTTACCGGCTCTTTACACTACTAATGTGGTAACTCAAATAGACAAACTTGTCTGATTTCACGTTACATTCATTATTTGCCTACCTGTATCGATGTTCCGTAAAGGTTATTGTATAATGAATAGCGTAAGTGCAGACATTTATTGTTCATCATATTACTTGCATACATAGTGCATTTATTAGTAGAACTGAAATATAACAATCTAAATTCCTTATCAGTTACATCTGTACCAACTTGTGAGAAGCAAGTATACACTATTTACGCATTTAATCAGAACTAAATAGATAAACTAACCGAATAGTTTTGTCCTCCGATACAGACACAGCAAGTTTATCTTCACCACACCATAGAAGTCGACGAATTATTTGTTCATGACCCTCGAATATAGATATAGCTAAATGTGGTAGATGAAAAATATGCGGTGTAAATTAAGTCATTGAAATACTTTACGCTAAACCAGATGAACTTAATATTAAGTATGAAAAAGATAATTTACGTGATTCGGGGGAAGTTAGATCGTAGACAGAAATCTTTTTCCAGTTGTTAGCGGTGAGTAATTTTGCACCAGAATCAGTCTTGCTCAAGTCGACACACCGGACAATATGATCTTGAGTGATGGAAAGGAGTTCTGAGCCGGAGTTTGTATCCCATATTTTGGCAGTGAAATCCGCCGCTCCTGTAGCAGCCTTAGTAGCATTCTTATCCAAAACACACGACCAGACAGCTCCTTTATGACCTAAAAATGTTCCAATCCAATCTCCTGTATCACCTTGGCGTAAAATTGCTTTACCATCTTAAATAAAAGAATAAACGAAATTAGGTGGTAATTTGTGGTCCGAAAACCAAAATGAATTAGAATAGGTGTTGATAGCATTTAGGAAGAAAACGGAACTGATTCAAACCAATATTTATTGAACTCGGAAACGCGCATATAGGATCCTAGTAAAATCACTAACTTGATTTGACCTTGTCAAAATAAAGAAGCTCGATTTACTCTTCATGAATTTGGAAGCCCTGATGCTGCTTCCCGGGGTCTCACTGGTTCAGGTATAGCATTGCGTCTTAAAGCAGAACTATCTCTCCTAGAATGCATCCTAGTAGATGGTCGATTGTGCGCTGTCCAACTTAACGGGACAGTAAGGACTCGGAAAGATAGGTACACACCGTTGCCTCTTCGTCGTATCGGCTTACGCTCCTACTGACCGCAGTTCAGACGAGGTGAAAGATGAGTTTTACAGAAAGCTTTCGAACCTCCTCCAAAAAGTTAGGCACTCTGATATAGTAATAATGGATGGTAACTTTACCGTTGAAGTAGATAGACTAAGTGAAGAGGAAAGACACCTGGGTTGTGGCTCAGAGAACAGATAGTGGCGACCGTCTGTTGCAACTATGATCAGATAGCCGCCTATTTCTAGCAAACACTAAATTTAGACAAGGAAAAGCATCTCTTGACCTGGAGAACCCTAAAGAATATATTTCAGGAGCAACTAGAAAGACAGTTAGACGGCCATGTAAGTGATTCCCATCCGGAAGTAGCTTGGTATGATATCAAAAAGGCTGTGGGAACAGCAGTGATATCTGCTAGCAAAGTAAACCATAAGGTTAGGAAGAAACCGTGGATCTCAATAGCATCCATCGAACTGATAGACGCTCGTAAACTCATCTCACCTGGCTCTGAACATGACAAAGAGCGGATTCAGCTTAAGCGCGAGCTGATAAAAAGCCTACGCAATGATTGCGAACAGTGGTGGGTAGCGAAGGCCAGAGCGATGGAAAAGGCAGCTGCAATTAGTAACAGTAGACAGTTGTTCCGACTTATTATGGAAACCGGCATTAGGAATCTGACTGTGAGGCTATCGCGGAAAAGGATGGAACTATTATTTATTCTCAATCCAAGAAATTGGATCGATGGACATAACACCAGGCATCATTTCACATGGCCCTCAGCAACACTTCGGTTACCCACGATCTCTAGTCGTCCTGAATGGCAAGTTGACGTAAGCCCTCCGAATCTTCATGAAGCTGAAAAACCTACAGGAAATCTGAAGCAAGGGAGAGCAGTGTGTCTTGATAGATTGACCCCTGAAGTTTTTAAGGGTGGTGGTTCGGTTTTATACTGGACCACCACCAGGTGGCTCGCTTATTGACTTAGAATATGCCGATGACATAGTCTTATTTGGTGAAGACGTTGACAAAGTGTAGAGTCTTCTGATTACTCTAAGCAACAATGCAAGCATGTTCGGGATGCGGTTTTCCCCCCATCCCGAAATGCAAAATGTTGCTACAAGAATGGGTTGCATAGGCACCTGAACAATTGATAGGGAGTGAAGTAGTCGAACGTGTAGACCGCTTCACTTATCTTGGGAGTCTCATCAGTGCCGATGGCCTGGTGACTGACGAAATCTCAGCTCGGATACAGAAGGCTTAATTGGCTTTTGCCAACCTGAGTCACTTATGGGGTAGGCGAGATATCCGTTTGCTGACTGCGAGGCAGTTGGCCCGACCACCGACTGCCTCGAAGAGCTTCGTTTTGTGATGTAGGAGTACGTTGGAAAAAAGCTAGGGCGGCCAGACCAAAACATGGCACAAATCCATGAAGTCACTGGCAAGTGGATTGAATGATGTTGGTAAATGTAGTCTACCTAGTTGGGGTCCGCGAGATGTTAGATACCTTAAACGATATGGCTCAAAATCGTTTGCAATGCCGAAGGTACATTCATTCGAAGTGTTCTCTCAAATTCTAACCTTCTGAATTCATCGTCATCTGTATCATACTCTGTCTCACTGAATTATACTTCTCAAATCATATCTTCAAACTCTAATCTTCTCTATTACTGCTAATACTTCTACTATCGCTACCATTAATGGATTTGGACTGACAGTTGATTCTCGGTGCTAATGCGGTTTGGCAACTTGCACGTACGTACGAAGCTCTACGTTGTAACTAACAGAATGATCGTTTGAAAAACTACGGTAAAATCCAGTCTCTGATCCTTGATCTGACCTAAAATAGAGAATGGTATTTTCCTGGTTAAGTCAATAATTCAAGATTTCTGAAGAAAGCTTAAAGTGAACATGCAGCGCGTAGGTTACCTGGTTCGCGTCTCATCTGAAAAGTTTTACAACTGTTATTTCCTCATTATTTTGTTTCTCTCTGATAAAAAATAATGATAAGTAAGAAATTTACGGCAAATCAGAAACTCACAAAGTAAGGAATAGGTAAAACGTACGAATCTCACAAACTACAGAGAATGGATTAACCTAGTAATGTCATACTGAGCTGAAGTTAGTAAGGCGCTACTAATAACTACGCTGATGTGAAGAGCTAATGAGGCTTAGAGAAAGGATAAACAGCGTCTACGCGACCCTACTCCTTCACAGTAGTGCTAGAACGGTCAGACTCTGATAACAGTACATTACTTGAGCTATGAATTTCCGGCTGTTAAAGGTCAGTGTTAAGCAATTAAAATAAATATATGATTAGATCCAAACTGTTGAATTATGCAGTGAGGCCAAACTAATGATAGAGTAATAAATGGACTTGGAGGACCTGATTTACCTGTGTAGGTTTATCAGGTGTGAACCGAAGGATAGATGGTCAAAGTGGGTAGTTTAAAGATCCTGAGTCTATACTGTGCTGTGTAAAAGTTGGAAGTATCATATTAGGATCAACTGTATACTTGGATATAAGAGGAAGTAAGTAAGGACCTTGGACCATTACTGGAATACAACAACTGGGTGGTAATATAATCGAGACGAAATACTACGTATACGGCTTTGTGCACATTGTGTAGTATAATGGGCAACAGGTTAAAATATGTAGTTGAATTATAACGTTAAGTACTTGATTAATTTGAATACCCATATTGATGCTGATTAAAAATTACCATAAGCCAATTTACGGAGTTGTTTGAGGATAGCTCTCTCAATGAAGCAATTGACAGAGTCCAAAAATGACAAGACACCAAGGTAATCATTGACCTTAAAAATCTACTTTCGGTCAAAGTATTTACATCTGGAACCAACAACCAACTAGACACAAGTTTTAATGATCGAGAAATCGTTTAGTTTAAGGTACCAATTTATATCATAAGTATTTATTACCACCGTAAGTTGGTTCTTTTGAACACAATTTGACGAGGATTTGATTGTAGACAATTCTATTCCGCTTAATATACATACCTTTTGAAGCTGTGATGAAAAGATGCCCACAATCTGTTTCACCACTATAGCATAAGTCAACTACCGGCCGTGTATGACCAGGACAGTAGACAGGGGACTGTTTCGGAGTCTGGATCATAACACGCCGGATAGTTGGCCTTGAAGAGGAAAACGACACTGATCACTGTTCAAAACTAATAGTAGTAAACAAGTAGTAAACAAGTCAATACATCAGCAAATATTCAATGAACAGGATGGTTCAAATAATTATCAACGGAATAGCAGCTTTCTCTAAGCGAGGTCCCTTGTGTATTTGCAGTGTACTGCTGGAACATACTGCCCGGTTTAGTTTTCAATGGACGTGTGTGAATTCTTGCAGCCTGTAATTCAGCGAACATGCTTTAAAGTGTTGATTGATGGGACTGATACCACTTTTTCTAGCAAGAAATTTCATCCATTGACCACTCGGTGGTACAAATTGACTCTCACATTGGGTTAATTTGGGCCTGATATGCGAACTTTCATATAGAGGTCTTGGAGACGATTAGTTGCAGAAAGGTAGAGTGATAACACACATTTACTCCGAAATCCTTATTCAAAATACGTAATGCCTCCATAATGTCATTTCTCTCTCTTTTTCTTTGTTTAATGCACGAAACCAATCTTTTGGGCAGGTAATGCTATGGCATCCCAGCTGTATTTCCTAAGTGCTGAGGCATCTATCTGTGGTAAATTCCGGGTATATCGATATTCCCGCATGACCTTATGACAAGAACAATTCCTGGAAACATTTGTTATGTCCAGTTAGCTTTCATGTTTCCATACCAATGCTCAGACGGCTATCTGAAGTGCCATCAGTAGAAAACGGAGTGAACAGTGATGCTGCGGGCGCGAATTCGGCCTTAGAGTTATCCGTTTCATCCGCTACGGACTCAGCTACACTGATCGAACAATCTGCTAACGTAGCACAGTCTCCGAATGCCATGAGTTTAGGCCGCCAGATATTAGTACGTGGGGAAGAAGTAAAATTACATGTATTGTATGTTCGAAGACTATATTAAGGTATTATGTGATCACTGCTTGCTTGTGGAGGTAGGTGCCGAACGTCGATGACATCATCGGTTTTACGTAAAGATGAGGTCAACCATTGATGGTTCTAATACAATTGTCAAACTATTTAAACTGTTTAAACATTGATGAACATTCCTGTCAAGGATTTATGTCACAAGTCAATATGTACTGGCTTTGCGATACACTGTATACGTAAGTATGCAATAAAAGTTGACAGCAGTTCACTATCGAAATTCCCGTCCGAAGTTGTAAGCACTACGTAACTGGTTTGTGGCGAGTAGAAATTTCCAAAGATGAGATTACAATCAGCTCTAATCCGAATACAGACATGACCTAGAGAAACTACATCAGAAATATAACGTGACTTTAGTAAGGTAGATGAAATGTATTTTTAGGCGACTCAAGGTATCCCTCAGTATTCTTCTGAAATCACACTTCTATCAGACGACTGGTATCCATACAAATGTCCTAGTACTGCTTCAAGATTGGTCGCAATTAGAATTAAATGACACTTTGAATGTCAAGATTCTAATGACCAAATTCCAAGTGTAAAGCTACGAGATCAACCTTTGTTTGATTAGGCTAGGATAAATTTTTCGACTTAGCGTACAAAGCGTTTTTGAGGGACTTATTATGAGCTATTTCAAGACACGAATTCTCTGCACACTTTAATAAGTCCTAAATTGAGAGAAGAAAAAATTTAAATCAAAACCACGAAATACTTTAAACGGTACAGCCTGCGCTAAACAAAGAGCACCAAACAGCGTATTAAACAACCGAAAGAATGAATAATGAATAAGTGTTTGGTACCTGATAATCAACAAGAGTATTTCCAACAAATAGGGGCAACTATATACCTGCAGTAGTTTGAGCAACCGTTTCCGGCAGGCAGTAAAAGGTCAACGATCATCCAAGGAACCGTGTTTTAACCGTACACCCAACTAAAGACAATCTTATTACCAACGGCTTGGCAACAAATAACAGCGGAATCAAATAACAAAGATGAAAATTAACTTAAGGACTCCTTAGTAAAAGTTAAATACAATAATTGTCGAAAAGCTAAGAAATAACGAAAGGTCTAATTAAATACTGTAGGTAGATTTTAAGAGTATTATTTCCGTCCCTAGCGCTGTTCGTCAACTAGCATGGAATTAGAATACTTTAAGTAATTGGCTAAAAATCAAATTCAATTGTAAAAGGCCTCAATGGAAAACCGACTGTATCCAAACAACAGTAAACAATGCTCAAAAAAGCCTCAAAGAATACGGCAAGATAATTAGGTTATATGGACACATCCGACATTACCAAATACTTAGAACCGTACCGAAAGAACAAGGATCGAGCGCAAAGAAATAAGCTCGTGAAAAAGATATTAGATAGATATAGGATAATCAGGAAAATTTGAGGCACTTTTAGTTGCACTGCTGTACATCTTGCTACACAAAAATCTTGGCTAACCATCACAAAGAAATGATTTCTCCGACAAAAGAACGAAATATTTTTAAGGGTTTGAGATTAGCAATAGCTTCAACAGATTAGAAAATCTCGTCAGTAATCCCATGATGACCTACATATGCCATGTATCTAAATGTTCTCACTCACTTTAGTAGAATGTGGTGGTGTGATAATCCCATTGGCTGAATTTTCTGTTGAAATTATGCTACACTATATATTCCTTATCCGAATCATTCGAAATTGGTGACCACAGTATTCCTTTTTAAAGGCTTAGCTAGTTTTAATGTGTTAGAACTTCGACGTGGGTGAGTGCTTTATTTTGGAAGCCTCACAGCACACAGAGTACTAGAGTACTTAATTCTAAACCTATTAATCGCTAGTGACTAAACGTACTGTCATGTTATTGTTCTTCCAGGTAGTGTTTAGTCATTACAAGTCAAACCGCTGGGAGCACCTTTGTGCTAACGCCGAAGTATTTTGTCTCCACAAGAGATGGTGTTTTCAGACGTTGAGAAAATATAGAGTTTTCACTTAAAATGACACAATAAGCGATTAATTAAAGCATACCTAATGGTGAGGAACAAAAAGACTTGAGTATTTCAGGCAGTACAAACCAACCTACGAGTTTATCTCATCACTAATTCCACCGATATTAGAAACGTATCCGTAACACTTCCCCGTGTAATCTTAGTCAGAACAGCCAAATGTGAGTTGCTTCTGGATCGAGTCTTAAACAGAAAGTAAATCGAGTATTTGATTTTACCGGAAACCGTATTCAATCTATTTCACTAAAGAATTATTAGGACCGAAAACATCAAGTAGTGCACAAAATCCGCTGCTGATAGACAGTTACCTGGAAGGGTGGTAGTAACAATTTGTTTTTCAGAGCAAATAAGCGAAACATTATTAACAGATTAGCAATACAAGAAAAACGAAAAAAACTAATAGTTCGGCAATAAAAAGGTTATTAGCAAAATATGGAGACAGGTAATGTGATAACTTTTGACGTGCAACAGCACTAGACATCAGTTTGAACGAGAATCGAAAAAACATCATGAATCATAAAGATTAGAACCGAAAATTGAGACGAAAATGCTAACACAACATATACAAACTCCTCTTTGATTGACATTGTTAGAACGCAGCTACTTGTTAATTTCCATTTAGCCTACATCACGTAGATCCTGCTGTGTGTGTGAGGATTCGAATCTGATGATTGACTCGCTTTTGCAAGTGGTAGTGAAGATGGTACTGTTCGTTTGTGGCAAACTGTTGTTGGAAGTGACTTTGGATTATGGAGATTGACTGTGCCAAGTGAACCTTCCGCAGTTAATTGTTCAGATTTATCTATATCTTCGAAAGAGAACTGTAGCAGGAATTTGGCTGAGGTAGCGGCTACTGGTGATACTATTAATAGTTAATCCTTATGCATATATTTTCATTATTAAAGCAATAGATTTCGGAGTCTTAACAAAAATATTATTATGGTTTATACACTTCATACCATTCTGTTTATCTTATGAACAGTTTCAACCATAAATTACTTCTGAGAAATAAGAGAATTTTGTACAGCACTGATTTCCACCAACGATTTTGTCAGTAGTTATATAAACAGACTATTTTTTGATAAGATACAAAATTTATTTACCTGGAGTTTGTTTTATTCATATTATAGATCATTAAAATCGTTACTCAGTACTAGGTTGTTTAGATTCTGTTTCTCTTCAGTTACACTAGCTTCTCTATTATGCTTATACTGCTATAGTGTTAAACGATAATTGCTCAACATGATTCACCAACAGTGGTTGAACTGCCTATTGATACCTCGTTTTATTTAGTTTGTATTATAAAACGATGTAGTATTGCTCACTTTCATATACTATAGTTTGAAACTATGGACAGAAATTTCATAGCACATTATTATTACCAAAAGAAAAATAAGAGGGAAATAACTATTTTATTTCAGACAAGCTGTTTCGAACCGTGCTCAGTTGTATTATAGGATACTATGAGATAGTATGGTTTCTATACAATAGTGAGTATTCGTCTGGTAATATGTAATAGTACTTCCCACTTTTAAGCTGTGTTTCGATATAATAGTTATTTTGATCCGACAGTTTCATGCGTAAACAGAGATTTTTCTCTTCCATATCAAAACAATATTGTGTAAACCAACTAGCTTAGTTCCTAGACACTTGTGTGATGGTGGATGCGGTTAGACGTCCGTAGTACTAAGTACAACTGAAACATTAGACAAAAATGCTGATACAACATATACAAACTCCTCCTTGATTGACATCGTTAGTACGCAGCTACTTGTTAATTTTCATTTAGCCTACATCACGTAGATCCTGCCGTGTGTGTGAGAGGATTATAATCTGATGATTGAGTCGCATATAAAAGTCAAGAAGCCATCAATACTATACTATTAGAGAAAAAGGAAAGACTCAAATTTTAAATCATAATTTGTTGAAGGGCCGTCCCTATAATCGAAGGTGAAATCATTCCTTCACATAGGTTGACAAGTATGAAATTAGAGAAAGTAATATAAACTAGAAAACTACACTCCTCTAAGTCATAAATCTTAAATATTAATTTACTTTTGCAGTTTGCTCCGAAACTGAAAGGTGTAGGTTCATACGCGTCCCACCCAGTCCAAGTCCAAAAACGATAATTCTGGGAGAGAACGGTTCTATTTATAAAAAGGGAAATACAGACAATAACCAAAACAATATTACACCTTCCAGTTTCCAATTACCACAATAGGTTCCGTTACTGGGAGAATAAGTGCTTCCTGTCCGTTACTGC